ACACACACAGACAACCCCGTGACAATATGCGTTTTGTAACGCTGTTACACAGCATAAAACGCATAAAAAAACAATATTTGGTTCTTTCCTTTTTTTTTTACGTTGGCATGTAACTGGTTAATTTTTTCATTAAATTTTGTAGAGTCGGTTATTATGGGTGTTAATTGTGGGCATAATCCTAGCATTTGTACTTGGATTTGCAATGGGCGCCAATGATGTATCAAATGCATTTGGCACGTCGGTTGGCAGTGGAGTACTGTCGCTTCGGATGGCTTATTTTCTGGCGATTATTTTCGAGTCACTTGGCGCTATTTTTGTTGGTATGTTTTGTTCGAAATCGCAATAAACCAGTTGATGGTTGTTTTATATAAATGACAAGAACTAATACTCCTAGTCGAGGATTAAAATCGGCGCGGCAGAAAAACCAATCCCGTTATTCGATGGTAAGCTGGTACTAACACGTGACAGGAGATCGAAGCTATCATGCAGTTGGTTTTGAGCAACCCTCGGAAGAGAGAGACATAAAAAAACGTAGCTAGCAGGCGAGCTATTAGCACTCGAACTTTTAGAATTCTATACCATCTGCAATAAATATTGCAGTAGTCTTCTTAAATCCTTCACTAGGTTTTAGTTTCGATATAGTGGTGTACGGCAAACATTTGCCTTCTGGGACACGGGTCGAAATCCCTTATTTTTTGCCTGGAAAAAACATGAAAAATTATATCTAACTTCCAAAGGAGCCAAACTCGCCAAAAACAGGTCCCAGCTTAGCAAATTCAAGAATGCTTAACTATCCCCGCCTCCTTCCTCTAGTAGTACAGGCGATTTCTTTACATGATGGTAAGATGCAAGAACGCATAATCGCACTTGCATGCCTGGAGCGTTATTACCTGGTTTTAATGTAATTGATATTATCACTGCTTTCTAAAATTTCAACCCATGCACCTCATCGCGGTGTGGGAGTGGCGACTGACTAGGCAATATCGAGGCACAAACTGGGCAGTTCCGAGCATATCGAGAAGACGCTGCACCGTATTTTATCTAGCTAAGCTTGATGGTATGGATCAGTGCTGGACTGAGCAGCAGTCGATAATACAGTAGAGATCAAGTAGCTATGCACGGCTTTGGTATTTTTGTTAGTGTTATCATTATTACTTTAGCGCATTTAAATACTAAAGTGCTGATTAATTAATAGCAGAGCATTTCAATGTGCTATTTGGAAAAAAAA